GTGATTTACATTTGTCCTGTTTTTAAAAATGATTTGATTGAAAAATCTAGCGTAAAATTGTAAAACGTAATAAGGGACGCGTTACCGACGAGACAAAATAGCTCTTTGTTTTTCATTTTAATCGATGTTTTTAAATCTGGGTAAATATTTAATATAAATCTCGTATAATTAACATGCAGAAATAATACTAATAAGTTTTGAGACACTTCACTTCTTTTTCTAATTTTTAATTAGCCAAAGACGCCTACCTAAACATTTTTTGATTTTTACCCATATACGTAAGAAAATAACTACTCACCACAGTACTGATATTTTGATTGGAACTATACGTGCATTCATTACAACTTGCATTGTTTTCAAGATGACTGTCGTGCAAAGGGTGGGCTCTGTAGGTAATTTTTTTACCAACACTTGAGTTAAAACGAGGAATTGACGTTTAAACTTCAATATTTCGCAGGAATTTTGAATTTTAACATTGGACACAGAACAAAGTTTATCAATTTTTCAAAAATTGCTATTATTCGAATCTACATATGATAAAACATGAAAAATACATTATTTAATGTTTTATAGTTTGTAGTGAAATTAAAAAATGTAAGATAAATTGAATATATTTTACTATAAAATCACTCACATATTTGATTCAGGAGTTGTGACACGCCAAGGTACTGATGTTTTGAATATTTATTATGTTTTTCTACAAACGTGCTTTTGAAAAAATACATTAAATTTGGGTGGACAAGTTAAAAAAACCTGGATCTTTTGTAATATACTAAAATATTTACAAACAATATTAAAATACCTACTCTATTGACTGATGACATCAAGTTGTCCAACTTTTGTAGAATGACCCATAACCTAAATTTACCTATAAATAAATTCAGGTTTACTATCAATTAACAAAATATTTAACTAGTTAGAAATATTACTTGTAAGTTAAAAAGTAGGATATTTTATAAGTTACATAACGTTATAGTAACTTTTAATTTTAACCTTTGAAAATGCTTAAGACAAGTTATTTTTTTTAGTCATATTTTAACTTTTGATATAACTTTTTGGTAAATTAACCAAAGTTTTGGTTAATTTGGATTTTTTTAACCATCGAGTCATATTTTACCAAATATATTTTAACTATATAGACTTTCTTCAACTTACCAAAGAAGAGATTTTAAATGGTTTAAATACACTTGCAGGTTAATTTATATTGGTTATATAACTATTTTTAATTTAATTTTAACTATTTTAAATCAATTACAAACGAAATAAAAAAAATAGGCAAAATAATTTTCTTTATTTCTAATTTTTGCAATGCACAGATGTTTAACAAAATAAATTACTTTATAGTTTTCGCTGTAATTTTTCATAAGCACGCCACTGTGCACACTGATTGTGTCGTTAACAATTTTGAATACTCGCATTTCGTTTAACATTAATAAATAAAGCTGTACCCCCTCATACATAAACATTTCAGCCTTGTGGTGCAAACCGAGCGGCCAGTTAAAACGCGAGATTTTTATTATGTGTATTAATATTTACATGTATTAATATTGGCACAACCGGGAAGTGAAGCAAGTGTGTTTGTTATATGAGCCCTCTGTAGAGGACTATCTTCTAATTTGTTTTGTTAGTGCCTAATGAGGATATACCTACTACAGTGTGCTTTTTATAGGTAATAAGGTATTATGTATATTTATTTACTACTATAGTTGTTATAGATTTTCAGCAAATATTTATGAATAACTTTTATACCGATAAAGAGTTTGGATCCTTATAATTTGTTTTAGGAGATACTTTACTTTCTTAAAAAAGATGTTATTTGGGTAATTTTCAAAATTTTTGTACATTTAATCTACAAATTTTGTGGTTATTTAACACCTAAAAGTGGGGAAAAAAACATATTAAAAAAACTTATATAAAAATGCTTAATCATTTTGAAAATATATTTTTTTGATTTTTAATCCTTTCAAGGTTTTATTTACACTAGGATTTGTTTAAAAAAGGAACATATGTAAATATATTACTGATAAAAAAAATTGAGAACAAAACTAAGTAAAAGCAAAAACTATGTTCTATTTCTCAACTTTCTTATATACCTAAGTATATTTAATATATATTCTGTATTTAAAAAATGTCCATTAAAAAAGTGAGTTTAAAAAATTTTCTTTTAATGCGTATTAAAAACGTTTTTTCTCGATTTTTTTATCTGGGTTCAGCTTGTCCAATTTAACGAGTAATAAATTAATAAAAGGTATTAGTTATTATTAATATTAATAAAATAATAATAACTTGTCAATATGTATAAACATTTCAAAATTTTTCCAGCTTCTTTGAGGCAAAATACATTGACTAGGAAAATTACTATTAAAAAGGTGGAGGACATTATTTTAAATTGGCTACGTACTGTCAGAAACAGAAAATGTGGAAGGTCGAAAAAAATGTTTTTAAAACTTTCCTATAAGTTTATTATTATTTCAAAAATATATTATAATTTATTTCTTTGGAATTGTCCCCTGGGTCACATAACTTTCCCCTGGGTCACACAATATGTGATCCAGGAGACATGTGACCCAGGGTAAAAATGTATGTTTTTAGAACATAACCTCTTTACTGTTTTAAAGATAATAATTTGTATTTTTGCCCTTAAAACCATTACTAGGATACTTACTTTTGAGAATCAAACAAAGTCCAACTATCAACTAAAAGTCTATTCAAATCCAAGCTGGACTAAATGTAAACACAATCCTCCGAATCGACCAATAAGAGCTCACAATCCGAGTCACACTATCAGAATCGACCAATAGAAACGAGTATCACGCGTCTGGGTGTTTTGGTTTAGTCCAGCTTGGATTTGAATAGACTTTATTAAATGCTTTTCTTTATTAAATGACATGTTTGGACAAACCGTTCTTCAGTTATTTAAGAGGATGTATAATCCAGATTTAAATTGTTTATGAAAATGATTTACATAAATTTATTTTTAGGTTAATAATTTTTACTTTATAGGGTTAAGAGATAGCCTCTCCTAGGCTTTGTCTGTATATCTTATTGGACATAGTCTAACTGAGGTTAACTCTAGCCCTTTTTTTCATCACCAATCCCAGACTGCAATGAAGGTTCGAAAATATTCCAGGAATGTGCCCCATCATCTAGGAATAATCCGCTTCATTCTAGGAATATTCCATAGAATGATCCTCTAAAACTTCCAAACACCATCTAAGAACATTCCCAGTGAATATTCATAAGTTTAGTTGCAATACCTCTCACCGCTGCTTAGGCACGCTTGAGAACTATATATACCGATAGGTTATTTTATCAGTTGGAGATGTGCGTCTGTGATGTTATAGCTAAACAATGATTAGAGTGGGACTGATCTACTCAGTAACTAAGTTAAGTTCCTGGGTATAAGTGGCCATAAGGGCTAGGAGTATATTAAGTACATTCTCCTAACATGCCGCTACATGGAATAGTCTTTCTATGCAGTGCCGGTTTAACAGGGGTTTTTTGGGGACTATAGCACCGGGCGGTAAATATTTTTGGGGCGGTACCGCGTACCGCCCTAATTTTTTAAAAAAATACTTAATCGTTAGAATTTAGAAAAAAAATATTGCGACACTGCGTCGGCGGATACAACGGATACAAATGAGAAAAATGTTGTTAGAGTTGAAGCAGCTTCTCCATCAGAAAAACTTGATTTATTGCATGGAAACGGAATAACTTTTTGGATAGACGTTTTGCAAAGGGTTAATGAAACCAATAATGCAGTCCAAAAACAAAATATGGATTTAAGCACAAATGCTCATCTTTTGTCATTTTTAGTTGAGAACTTTGATTTTTTACGTGATCATTTTGATCATTACGAGGAAATAAACAGGAAACGAAAATTATGCTCAGAAGCGGATAATCATAAGAAAATTACAATTTGAAGAAAATAATTCAGAGGCAAATTTAAGCAAAAAAGAAACAATGCGAACAATATGTTTTATTTTAATAATTGACAATCCATAATCCGAAATCATTTGTCGATATGATAGCTAGAAATCTGGCACAAACAAATTTGAATTTTTGTTTAATCTAAAAGCATAAATCTTCGTGGAGGATTTGGATGAGTTTTTTCCTCAAAAATGTGTCCAACTCAAGAAACTGGTAACTTCCCTTTCGGAAATAAAAATAGAAACTTCATTGGAATTAGTATAAGTTTTATACGAAAATAAATTAATATCTTCATATCCGAATATTAATATTTGTCTGCAAATTTTTTTTTATAATAGTTTCAAATGCAAGTGGTGAACGATCTTTCTCTACTCTAAAAAGGGTAAAGAACTACCTAAGAAATACAATTCCCCAAGAAAGATTTAACTCCTTAGCAATTTTGTCCATTTATCAAGACCTGCTAGATGAAATAAATGTAAAATGTTATAAAACAATTTGCTACTATAAAGACTCGAAAACAACCTTTTAATTATTAGTATTAGGATTTCTCAATATTTATTTAAACCAAAGAATAATGTTTTATTTATTTATAACTTTTGATTAGTTTTTATTAGTTTAATGAAACAAAATATTAAACTTTTATTTTTTAATTAGTTTTTCTTAGTACTTAGTATTGTTTATATAAACCAAAGAATGTTTTAATTTTTAGTTAGTGCTTTTGATTAGTTTTTATAATTTGTTTATAAAGGCTCATTTTATATTTTATAGGATACTAAGTTTACTGTTAGATACCAGCCTAACCAAACTAATCTTCCACTTGACGTGAGAAAGTAAGACTTAAAAATTTAAAAATGTTTTTAAAAAAGTAATATTTTAAAGCATTGGGCGTTGTGTTTATGCCAGTCTGCCAGAACCGGGCGGCGAACTAACTTAAACCGGCACTGTTTCTATGATGACTGGGTTAACCAAAAAGCGGATATTTGATTATGCCAGGAATATTCCTGACATATGCAGGGAATGGGATTTTGAGGACTGGGATGGAAAGAAGGTATAAATAATACAAAACAAATTTAACCCATAGAAAACATTAACTTTTTTAATCACATGAAATAAAACATTCATTGCTGAACTAAATATAATAGGTCAATGATTGGGCCAGTTACCATCCTATGTAGACATTATTTTTCTCAATGTAATCCAGAAGCCAAGTGTAGACAGGTTTGTAATACTCCAGAACAGGTTTAGAGGAAATTTTATCCTTGCCTGTAATTATTTTCATTGCTTCAGACCAATGAATTCCAGCTCCTCTTTCCATCATAGACCTAAAGAACGAAAATAGTCGTTGGTGTTAAAACTAAATTACTTGTTCATACCAAAGCCGTTTTCCACTATCTTTAGAGCCGTAGATGTCGCACCTATGTAACGGGATATTCTCTTCGTTCAAGTAATTGGTTTTGTTGAATAAGGAGAGCTCGCAGAGACTTTTAAAAATATCCATTTGGATTATGCCGCTCAAGAAATACCTAAAGCTTCGAGTTACTTACAAATGACAACATTTCGCATTACGAACCTGATATACGGGGTGTTGTCTGGGACGTGGAACTTAGCACCGGCATCAAAATATTCCTCCCCTCTTTCTTCTGGAGCAACAACCCCTCTATACTTCAAGGTTAACTTCCAGAAAGCTCCATTCAAATCGTCGTAAGAAATTGCTCCCTTAAATACGTCCCATCTGTATTTATCCAAGGCCAACGCAAAGGGGAGCTCGGGTATTTTGTTCAAAGCCTGCTTGAATAACAGCAAAGTTTCCACATCTGGGTCGTAAAGTTCATCATCGTTTAGAGCCCCGATTCGGTGGAGATGTTGGGGGGTCATTACCCCATGCATTATGGCGTCTCCAATGCTTTCGTGGATTGCACTATTACTACCGTCCTGGAAAACACATGAAGCTATTTGTACTGAATGCACTGTAGCAATGGAATGGGACAAGATTCTCGAGCAAGATACTTGGAGAAGCACTTTATACACAATTTGACAATTCTTGATCAAGACACTTGACCAAGATTCTTTATTCAGACTGGCTCCAGACTTGGGCCAGTCTTTAACCAGAATTTGACCAGATTCTTGGCCCAGAGTCTTGAGATAGACTTACGCGAGAAACTGAAAAGACGACAATTGTGAATTGTGAATGAAACTACTGTAAACTGAGAACCTCTACTCTATAGGATAGTCCCTAAGTTTAGTAACAGATGGCCTTAGACTTCTGGTCAAATTCTTGACAAACTCTGGCCACAGTCTGGCCCAAGTCTTGCCGAATGATCTTGTTCAAGAATCTGGACCAATTCTTGTGCAATTCTTGATCAACAATCTGTTCCAAGTATCTTGACCCATGCTTGGACAAGGCTTTTCCAAAATTGATACTAGGGGTAACAGCAAGCTTAAGACTTTCTTAGATATTTAATAAAACTAAATGAGTTTGACCTACACTTTTATTGTGTTTAATCTTTCATAATTAAGTAGATATTACAGCTCAGGTTCCAGATTTTTAACCGCAATTAATTATTTTTTACAATGTTTTAAAAGTCTAAAACCTATCCTCCGTGACTGTTACTCTTTCTAGGTTAACCTACATGTTTTCAAATATCTGAGGTGGTAAAAGCATACTAAAATATCAGTTCACAAAGTAAATTAAACACATCCAAAGCAATCGAATCAAATATAAAATGTATTAAAAATTAAAAGAAATAATTTGTATAACCATTTATGTAAGTGTTGCAAAAAATGATTCTATCCTCCGTGAATATGTTTTATGCAACGGATGGCGCTTTAATCATTTTAAATAAGCAAAAACCTCTGTTTACGACATTATAGATGCATGTGATTCCTGAAGGTCAGTTAGAATTTATATGCAGATGAGAGTGTTGCAGTTTTATAATTCAAAAGTTTAAGTTCATTAATGTGCTATTTAAAACCTATCCACCGTGAAGCGTAATATCTCAGTAAGTATATTTTAAACATTTTGTGTCTGTACAATTGTATTTTTTTTAAATATTATGGTGTCAAAAGATACAAATATACAAAGGGATGTTTAAAAAATAACATACGAAATCCTAACCTCCGTGAAGCTCTAATATTCAAAATGTATGATTTCTTAAAATTCTTGCATTAGTGCAGAACCACTTATCTTATGTTATCACTAGACCTGGTGGCTTCCCAAAAACCCCATTCTAGACTAACAGTATAACAACCAAAAATAAAAAATAATCATTTTCACTTGGGGGACAATATATTCACCCAGTTGTAAAAACTACTGAGCCTACCTTAAATATTGGATCCTGATTTTCAAATGCCATGAAATAGTAGATGTGACCCATTTCGTGATGGATTACATGAAGCGTATCCATTGAAACTTCACCACACATAACCATCCTGAAATTGTCTGAAATTTCAATTCATAACAATTAGGGGTTAAACGAGTATACCTGTAATCTCCGTAATATAAATCTGCTGCTGACCCATGACAAACTGTGGTACTATTAATTTTCTCAAAAATGGAATGTTTCCAGAACTGTTGGGGTAACTTTGGAAAACCCAGAGAAGTATAAAAATCCTCTCCTTCCAAGACCTGAAATCAAATTTATGAATAAATCAATTAATGTTAGGTTTTTTTTCGTTTTTGTAAATGTCATATAATTCATATATTTCTTTCTCGGATTCCTCATCCCTTTTCTGGATTCTGAAGGTAACTACTAATTCCTTGGTCTGACTTCTGAAATAGTTTGTTGCAAATATCATTAAGTGTGGTATCTCTAGTTTGTGAAGCATTTATAATGTTTAGGCCGGAACAGGATGATTTATATATATCTAATATTTTTTCGGGTGGTATGTTAAAAGCATTTTCCGAATTTATTAATTTTGTGGCCATTAGTTTTTTATGTTCTCTATCATGCACTGTATTTAATTCACTGTTATTCTGCAAGATGTCGTGTGACGAAATCAATTAGTCAAAAATATCATAGCGAAAATGCAGCCACTAATAATTCTCGTCAACAGCAATTTGTATCGAGGACATTTAGCAGTCAATTCCTATGAAATATTATTCGCTGAATCCGAAAATGTCGTCAAAAGTTATAAAAGTAGAACAGTTTTTGAAATATAATCAATTTTACATATAATATGGAATTGAAAAATGCTTAACTTTTATAGTTTTTGACGGTCTTTTCGGATTCAGGGGACAATTTTACATAAGAATTGGCTGGTAAATATCCGGGATACAAATAGAGTATGATATTGGACATATGTCCAATAATAGAAATTTACATTTTTCTTAACCCCTGTAAAAAAAATAAAACATTATTTTACCAAGGTCCTCTCATTCGGGTGTCCTTTTTTTATTCTTTCATCTAAATTAATTTTCTGCTTTTCCGTTGTAAACAAGTCGATCAGTGACGACCAATCTTGCCCCCACATATTACCTAAAAAAATTGTTTACATAATAATACACATTAAACTATTATTTTGATACCTGCCTAATAAATGTATTGGGATTGGCCCTTTGAGATCAATAATTAATTTGCCGTGTTTCTTATACAGCTTGTGTCTGACGACAGCATGCAATGCTACATAAAAAGGTTCAATTTCTTTGTATAGGTTTTCCACGTATGTTTCCAGATCGGGAATTTCAAGCTCCTCTCTCCAGACTTCTCCCATGTCATTATAGCCTTAATTCAAATATCAAAATATTAAAAAAATTGGGGTTAAATAACTACAAATTTACCACTAAGTCAACTTTAAAGTATTTTTTACGGATAACCAAAACGGTTTTATAACGGTATAGATACGAAAAATTACCAAATTTGGGGAATGGTTTATTTCGTTATTATACCTACATTATAACATTTTTGATCTACTAAGAGAATAACGTAATAAAAACAATATAAATACCACAAATTTACGTAAAAATAACGCTATAATTACTAACTGTTTGCTATCTCTTTCTAAAACATTGACATTCGTAATTTCTTTGTTCTTTTAATTTATATTTCACAAAATGGTACTTGCAAAGTAATAAAGGCCACCCTAGAGTAAAATTAAAAAATATAACTTAAATTGTCAAAACTAATTATATTTTGCATTAAAACTCAAATGTACATTATTTTAATGATAAAAATAGGCACGATACATCTTAAAAATTATAAGCCATCTAAATATTTTACGGTTTTAAGAAAAATTATTGCATGGGTAAAAATTCAACAAAACTTAAAACCTACAAAATTTTATAAAATCTTTTAAAAATCATTTAGTTTTAATCATTTTTTATTTCCTTATTATATGAAATAGGTATATGAAAAAATATTATATAAATGTTTAGATAAGCAATGGATATACAGTTATAAAGTGGTCTTAATATCGTAAAATGATGACTTATGAGTAACATTTACCATTAAGTAAAAATTCTGACTTTAAAATTACCGTTAAATTTTCCTTTAGGGGAAATACACTTATAAGTAATTTTCTTTCGTAAAAATTACGTCCCTCATAATACTTTAAAGTGTTGAAAGTTAAGGGTTATTAAAATAGGTAAAAATGACATAAATAAAACTTATTAAATAACTAAAGTTTTACTTACCATTTTTCTTAGCAGCAATGTTCTGCAACATAACCCCCATATAAAAATCGTTTTTTATCCTAGGTCCAACAAAATTATGCCATAACGTCCAAATGTATTTTAATTCTTCTACAGAATGATTTGTGTTCCTCATAAAAATTTCAAGGTCGGGTTCTCCGTTAACGCACTGTCCAGGTTTTGGGAAATCGTCAGACATATCTTGATTTTTTAACGGTGAAGTTTGTGGTAGACAAACAGGATCCTGATATTCTTCCAGTAAGGTTCGCATTAATTTTGAATAACGACTACAAATTATAAAGTTAACATACTAATTAGTATGCATTTTACGAAAAAATGTTTAAAACAAAAAATTTTTTTTTCCAAAAAAAGAATAGCAAATTCTTGTAGAACATTTATCCGTGGACCAAAAAAGAAAGCAAAAAAATCGATTTTTTTTATTACGGTATTCGTTAGAATTGAGCGTTTCACGTTTATCATCTAAAAATCTCAAAACTATAAACTTCAATTGCTTTTTTTACGGCTCCCATTCGACCATTTTTAACAAAGATACAGCTTCCGAAAAATCTTACATCTCTAGTCCTCATACTCTCCTTATGAGATATTTTAAAGTTTCATGTTAAATAGCTCTTTAAAAATATAATTTCAACTCACAACAAAATATCATCGGTAAACTTGGCACCTCTGCAAAACAAATGAATTTTTCTCTCCTGTTCTTCAGTTAAAAACTCGAATTTAAAATCTGCTTCGCATATTTTATTCTTCCATAAATTTTTAACTTCCATTAATTTTTTCAGTTGCTTTGCGGATTTTTCATCGTAATCCCCTGTCACTTCGTTCCAATTAAGGCGATTAATTAGGGCTTTAAATTCGCCCAAAGTTGGCTCAACTTTATTCAACCATTTTTGCACTTCCACCTGATATTTCACTGCAACGAAGATTATTTTTATTTACCTCGTTTTTTTTTTTAATTAAAGGATACAAAAATTATTAAATTAGTGGGTGTACTTATCTGGTAAGTAATTATATGAATTTGAATCCCAAACCAAAAATATATATAGATATTGAAATATAATAATAAAAATTATTATATAATTATTATTATTATTATAACAATAAACATAAATCTACGTTTTAAGACTTGATTAAATGATTTTTTTTTAGTTTTGTACAAAGAAAATTTATAAACAATAACACCCAATTCTAATATCCTTTAATTTTAAATCGAACTTTATCATCACGCACTTTTATCATAAACAAACTGCGAATCAGCAGATCCATACGTAGCTGATATGATTAGCAAACAAGGTAAAATCAACATTTTCACATGTTGGTGAACCATTGAACTAAATTTTCAGCCGCGACTGAAACGGATTTTTCAGGAGGAATGTTTATAAGAGCTCCTGTTGTCATGCGCTTTCTGTTTATTATGAGGTATGACCACGTGTCCCAACAAAAACTAAACAGGAGTTTTCAGGTAGCAATTAAAAAAAACCTATTAAAGTGACATTACCTGTGCAGGTGAAGTAAGTAAAAGCGTAGAGCTTTAAGGCAATATTACTTAATTTAAGTAAATATTTTGTTAAATTAACCTTAAAAATTTACTTTGAAGTCAAACTTTGTTAAAGTTATTTAATAAGTTTTATTTATGTTATTTTTACCTATTTTAATATCCCTTAAGTTTCAACACTTTAAAGTATTATGAGGGACGTAATTTTTACGAAAGAAAATTACTTATTAGTGTATTTCACCTAAAGGGAAATTTAACGGTAATTTTAACGTAAGAATTTTTGCTTAATGGCAAATGTAAGTCATAATTTTACGATAGGACCAATTTATAACCGTAAATAATTCCTATTCGCCTGGTATTTTTAGGGTTATTAGTGGTAATAAATACTATTAATATTGACTAAACAAGGAAAAATAAAACTTTAAGAGAAAATTTATTTCAGGTCGCCATAATTAGTTTTTTAAGATGGCATCTATTACTTATCTAAACATTTATATAATATTTTTTCATAAATATTTTTTTTTAAATATAATTAAAAATAAATTTTAAAAGATTTTATAAAATTTGGTAGGTTTTAAGTTTTGTTGAATTTTTACCCAAGCAATAATTTTCTTAAAACCGTAAAATATTTAGAGGGCATATAATTTTTAAGATGTATCGTGCCTATTTTGATCAATAAAATAATGTGCGTTTGAGTTTTAATGCAAAATATTATTAGTTTTGACAATTAAAGTTATATTTTTTAATTTTACTCTAGTGTGGCCTTTATTACTTTGTGAGTACCATTTTGTAAAATATAAATTAAAAGAACAAAGAAATTACGAATGTCAATGTTTTAGAAAGAGAGAGCAAACAGTTAGTAAATATAGCGTTATTTTTACGTAAATTTGTGGTATTTATATTATTTTTATTACGTTATTCTCCTAGTAGATCAAAAAGGTTATTATGAAGGTAAAATAACGAAATAAACCATTCCCTAAATTTGGTTATTTTTCGTATCTATAGTATAGATACGAAAAATAACCAAATTTAGGGAATTAATGGTTTATTTCGTTATTTTACCTTCATAATAACCTTTTTGATCTACTAGGAAAATAACGTAATAAAAATAATAGATTCTATAGATTCTATACCGTTATAAAACCGTTTTGGTTAACCGTAAAAAATACTTTAAAGTTGACTTTGATTTGTAGTTATTTTAACTTAAAATGCTGCTTGGGCCCTAATCCCAAGTAACACAACTGATTAAATTAACGTTAGATTTGCGTTATGTCTAGTTAATTTATTTAAGTAAAATTGTACTAAAACCTTAAATTAACGTTATTTTGTAATGAGTGGGGAATTCAATTATGGTAAAATTACCTTTATATAAAACATATGTTAGTTAAATTTTACTACTTTTTAACTCTTAAGAGTAAATTAAATCAACTTAAACTATAATTTAAACTATAGTTTATTTAAACTCTTAAATAAATTTAAAAATGATAAATTATAAAATGATTTGTAGTTATTTTAACTTAAAATGCTGCTTGGGCCCTAATCCCAAGTAACACAACTGATTAAATTAACGTTAGATTTGCGTTATGTCTAGTTAATTTATTTAAGTAAAATTGTACTAAAACCTTAAATTAACGTTATTTTGTAATGAGTGGGGAATTCAATTATGGTAAAATTACCTTTATATAAAACATATGTTAGTTAAATTTTACTACTTTTTAACTCTTAAGAGTAAATTAAATCAACTTAAACTATAATTTAAACTATAGTTTATTTTAACTCTTAAATAAATTTAAAAATGATAAATTAGGTAATTTAAGTGCTTGTGAGGTAAGATAGGTATTACATTTATAAACAGAAGGTAGGTAGTTAATTACCTATGTATATGTTATCCATTATTAACAAACAGTTGCAAGTCAATATATTTATCTCTGTATTTTATTTACCATACAAAAAGCCATATGTTGGAGCTATACTGTATAATATCAGTGTTATAAACATAAATAATTATAATAATAATTGTAATTAGTTGTCTACTTTAGTATAACAATCGTTAAAGTATAAATTTCATTAATTATTTTTTTCTTTCACAAAATGTTACAAGAATATTTACATAACAAGAAATTAAAAAAACGTATATATTATGTATCAAGTTTGATAAACGCTATTTTAGTCACGAATTTAATTTAGGCACAAGCAAATTTTTTTCAAATATTGGCGTCAAGAAACCATTTAATACTTTTGTATTTTTCTATTGAGATAATAAAATAATTTTCACATTTGGTATTATTTTACAAAAAAGGCACTTTATTTTAACGATTGTATGACATTTGACAACTGTCAACTAACTTAAAACTAACTTCAGCCCGTGACTAATAACCTGTTGCTAACTTCAGCCCGTGACTAAAGCGCCATAAAGCCACAACTTGTCAATGTGTATTTAAAAGGTCACTTAGTGTCATGGAAACATGTACGATAAAGGGCGTTTTAAAGGTGGGAGTAGAAAAAATATATTTTGCCAAGGTCAAATCTGTCAAAATCAAGTTAAAAAAATAAAAATATTTAGAGTTTTGCCATTGTTATTATACTTACTTACTATATTTTACCAAATCACCACCACACGGGAATTTGTATAGAAATAAAAATGAAATAATTAAATCTTTTATGGTTTTTATTTTACCATAATTATCAATTATTAATTGATAGGTAGGTACCGTAATTTGTGTAGGTTATAAGTATATTAAAACATTTTTCATCCGAAATCGGCAGTAAAGTAAAAGAAATCGGCAGTAAAGTAGAACTTTACTACCGATTTAATACGAGTATTGTATGCAACCCATTATACATTTTAAGATGTGTCTACTGCTCCTCAGCAGCAACTAAATAATATTTAACATAAACCACCGTCGCGGAGGTTGGAAAATGTTGAATGCAAAATAATTTAATAAAATCACGAGACCGCGTAGCGGTCGAGGGGTTTTATTTTTAATTATTTTGCATGAAACTATTTTCCAAAAAGAAAAATCAAATAAAAAACTTACTGAGCATAGTTTGACAGATTAAATTTATAGGTTGAGTGATATACGTCTAGATAATTTCTCGAATTAAAGGAAACTATTTGAAAATTCATAAAATCTGACGTATGTGTCAAAATTTATAAATATTTTTTTAAAGAAAATTCCATTCATTTAAGGTATGTAATAAGTAATAATTGATATTTCGTAAACTAGATAACTTATTTTTTATTGTTTTTTAAAAAATGTTTGTTAAAACTTGTAAATAACACCATAAAATCGTAAACAAAAATCCAATATGGAGGCTAAAATTTAATCGCTGTTAAATAGTTCTAGTGATTTAATCGGTTATTTAAATGAAATTCATTCGAAAATTCAAGGCTTTTGATTGGTTCATATTATAATGAGGGAAATAACCATCATTAATTATTAGTATTATTAAATGTGATTTCGGATAAAATTTAATATGCACCTCGGCATTAAAGTCATTTTTCATTACGTGGTTATTTATATTTGGTTATAATTTCCACATTCGTGATAAAAAATACGACTTTACTGCCTTGATAAATAACTATAACTTATTTTCTTATACCTAACTTTATTAAAAAAAAATAACAGTTAAGTATGGACGACGTCACTGTAAACTCAGAAATATCTCCGTGTTTCTATTTTTCTTTTAAAAAGCCACTTATCAAGTTGTGTTCTTTTATTACTTACAAATTTGATATTTTTGAGTTTTCCTTCGGTTTTATTTGAGACAGATACTTCTGTATTTACTCGGCTAAATAGTAAACAAATAAAACTGAAATTTCATTTTGCTGTCTCCAATTTAAGTTAACCTTATTCTTCCATAGCTACATGTTACTTTTTATTTGTGTTGTGGACCTACGTATTTCATATTAGGGAAATAATAATTTTAAAGGTTAGGTAATGAAAATTTGTTTTGTATTTCAATTTTATAATTTTGGTGGCTCTATTTTTGTATAGGTAGATGTCACTCTTTACAAATATTAATACATTTTTAAATATTTAGTTAAATTCAGACTAATTTTGCAATGAATCATTTGTCACTGACACAGGTGCTTTGAATGGATAAAGTAAATTAAATCTTATTGAATTCGGAACGAGGATCTCCTCCTTGAAAGAATTAAACTTAATGAAAACAAAGGAGAATCTAGCCAATAAATTTACTGTTTGTAGGATTATTTCCAGATTATCCAAAAAACGCCGTATTTTATTTTTGGATTTTCTCGACATTTACTAATTTAGATTAAGTAGCAAAATTAAGATTGGAATGTTAAGATAAGATAATCACCACAATAAACTATAATAAATATTTTTATCTACTCCTACATTGACGAGCTGTAACTTTATGGCGTTTTATTGACGGGCTGAAGTTAACAACAGTGGCTTTTCGACATTTTACGTCACGGGCTGAAGTTAGCTTTATTAAAAATTGGGAAAAAGTGAGGTTAAATTCGGGTGACAGTTGACAGATATCAAAATTTTAACAAATAAAATTGGCTTTAAATTCTGTTTTGTGTTCGTCGTAGATAAAGTGTAGTATGCAACTCGTTTATAAACTTCTCTAGACACTCGTTTTTATTAAACACTCGCTCGCAAGCTTCGCTCGTGCTTAATTAAACTCGTAACAAAAATGGCGTTTATAAAACTTGATACATAATATACTATTATCTACTAACATTTCATAATATTGTTTTTTTCTTTGTATATTATGATGAACATTACAAATTCCCCAACAACGGGAATAATGAACTCAGTGATAAAGATTTCAATTTTCGCTATTTTAAACCAATCGGGTTTTAAATTGGGAGGCGACTATATTTAAAATTGGTAAAAAGTAGGTTAACTATTTGACAGATGTGACATGAGTTTATTTATAAAGATTATGTGAATTATCTGTCATATCCAGGTTCTTGTAATTTTTTTTTCAAATTTTGCCTCAACAACATATAATTTGTATGGAAAAAGGAATGTGATTAGTGTTAATGAAAAACATCAAAAATTTCGGAAATACTTTATTTAAATTGAGTTTAAAGAAATAATCTATAACTCATAATGTGAAATAATATTGCATTTATGTCTAAACATTTTTTTGAGAATATACAAGGTTGCAGAAAGTTACTTGATCTTTATACAAAAAATTGGTAACAATCGGGTAAATTATTGAACATACAATATTAAGAAAGTTGAAAACTATATAAAAACAGAATTGTATTACTCATTAAAACCCTTATTTTATATAAAACTATAAAACAAAATCATATAAAAACTTTTACAAAAAATTAAAACCTATTAGGAATTTTTATGTAAAATTCTCAGATTGTGTAAAGTAGTGCTTTTGTGATCAATAAAAGATATTTTTATGTTTTCACCATATTCAACAGTTGGATGAAACCACAAAAACTAATAAATTCAAAAAATATGGTCAATGTTATCAACAAACATTTTGAAATATACATACATACAAAAATATTCTATATCAGTCGGTAATAAATATATCCTTGCACAATCTGAGAAAAAAAATTAAGCATGTTAACAAATTTCTTATTCCCTTTTGATGGCCTGGGGTGCCTCGGCAAGACCCTTAACTTTTAGTCTGTCTGCCGTTTTCAGAAAAGCAGGTAACTGTTCTTGGCTCACGTTTACTTCACCTGCATACATAAACTCTAGAATGGCTTGCAGGTGGCTGTATGCAACATCTTTTAGAATTATAATTGGATGTTTTGAAGGATTCTCCTACGAAGTATTAATACATTTAAGGGTCTTATAAGAAGAGATTATCAAGCAATAAAAATAGCGTAATACCTGGAAATGTTATCATTTTTTAATTGTACTTATATTCCAAGAATATTGTCTGGTTCACATACAGGAAATAACACCTTAATTAAATGTCAAATAAATACATCTATACCATTTCATAGATATTTTTAATAAGAGTTCAATTAAGTGTAAGTCAATAATATAAGAAATGGTAAATGGTTTAAAGAAAATTAAAATTAACTTAATTTAAACATTTTGTCTCTAATATACTAGTGTATTAGGTTTCTTAATACAGTGGTATTAAATTGAACTTAAAACAGTTTGACAGATGTCGGATTGGTAAAAAGTGAGGTTAAAACCGTTCAGATGTCAGATAAAATGTCAAATAAAATTAACTTTAAATTCAGAAAAAAAGTATGGTAGGTACCTTTGTTTTATAAACTTTCAAGATAACCCATTTATTAATTATAATCAAAGTTAAAAAAAACATCGAAAAATCTTAATGCCACCCTGTATAATTGTTTTAACAAAATTAATTTTACTGTTGATAAATCTGTTACCTTGGCAATAGCAATTTATATACATAAAACAAAACAAAATAACAAGTTAAAGAAAAAAATAAAGATGTCCGTGTGTTCATATTCAAAACAAAGATGTTCAAATTTCAAGGTGGTGTGTTATTTTAGTGGCTAAATTAATTTGTACTTACTTCAAGCAAACTTTTAAAGTAGGGACTACAAGCAGACAACACCATTTTATGCGCTTTACATGTTTGCCCTTCACAAGCTAATGTGACATCTGTAAAACTTTTTTCATCCCTTAAATGTCTGAAAGAAGAGACCATGTTGCTCTGAAAATCGTTCCATTTTAAGAAAAACTGTTGTTGATCGGCCATTTTAGATATATTTCCTCAACTGCAAGAAGAAAACATACAGTTATCAATGTTTATAATACAAATTCACCTCACATAACCCCATTTGGAACATATTCAACGTATTTACGTTTCTATGCGTGCAATTTGTACGATTTACATATTTACACCGGTATCAATTACTTACGTGAATATATTACGCTAATTTATTATAAAATATCTTCGAAAAATTTCAATTTACACAATCATTAGCATTATACCAAACAATACAATGAAATTACGCAAGCGCTATTTCTTTTGCTTGGCCCTTTCTTTTCTTACAACTGTCAACTTACTTTTAACCCGCCAAATTCAAATATCGATCTTAAAGAACATTCCAATTTTCATTTTAATAAACTTTATTGGTTTTATTTATGTTTTTAAATATATCATTTGATAATTGTTTCATTAATTAGATGCATGATATATGCGTTTTTGACAATACACCAAAAGAAACGAAGGATTAAAAAAGTTAGGTTAACGTCAGCTCCATAGAAAAAGGATAAACCATAGAAAAATAACCAAAGACATATAAAACATAAAAATAACCATAGACATATAAAAAATAGAAAAATAACCATAGACATATAAAACATAGAAAAATAACCATAGACTTATAAAACATAGAAAAATAACCATAGACATTTAAAAAATAGAGAAATAGAGAAATAACCATAGACTTATAAAAACATAGAAAAATAACCATAGACATATAAAAAATAGAAAAATAACCATAGACATATAAAAAATAGAAAAATAACCATAGACATATAAAAAATAGAAAAATAACCATAGACATAAAAAATAGAGAAATAACCATAGACATATAAAACATAGTAAAATAACCATAGACATATAAAAAATAGAGAAATAACCATAGACATATAAAACATAGAAAAATAACCATAGACATATAAAACATAGAAAAATAACCATAGACTTATAAAAACATAGAAAAATAACCATAGACATTTAAAACAAAGAAAAATAACCATAGACATATAAAAAAATAGAGAAATAACCATAGACATATAAGATAGAAAAATAACCATAGACATATAAAAAATAGAGAAATAACCATAGACATATAAAACATAGAAAAATATCCATAGACATATAAAACATAGAAAAATAACCATAGACATACTTATAAAAAATAGAGAAATAACCATAGACATATAAAACATAGAAAAATAACCATAGACATATAAAACATGGAAAAATAACCATAGACATATAAAAAATAGAGAAATAACCATAACCATTATTCTTTAAAAGAATTTCTTTTATCACAGCGTTGCCAATCTCACATTTGTGAGTAATTTCATCATATACCTATAACTATAATAATGGAGTTATAGGTATATGAATTTCATGGTCTGTGAGGTATTTTTTTGTAATTAAATTTCTTTTTTTTAGGGTTTTGGTTGGTAAATACAGTTGTCAAGTTGGTCGCATTGATTAAAACAAACTAAGCTGGTTATAAATCTAATTGTGGTTATGTATAAATTATTGAAGGTTATATTTTGCAGTTGTCAAGTTGGGTTGTCGAAATTCGTCGTTAAAAATCCAATTAATTTGGCTTTGGTGGTGCTTGGATGAGTAGAATCATATAAAAAAGTAGTTAAATATAGGTTTCTTTACGGCCCAGAAGAGAAAGTATTCCTTCGCTTTGAATTTATATAAAAGAAATTACAATTTTTTGTGAACGTAAATGTTGTCCAATGGTGAATAATGTGAAAATAATGTGTGATGTAATATTTGTAATACCAAATTCGTTACTTTTTTACTCCAAAAATGTCCATAAGGCGATATACTTTTTCTTCCGTTGTGGCATTTGGCATAATTTCATCAAATTGAAGTTTTGCCCTCAAAAGGGCTTTTACATTCGAATTCGTTGCTATTATTTTTGGCATAATTATCTTTTTATTTATAGTTGACAAGTAAATTATCAATAATAAATATTATTGTCAATTTGACAGTGTCAAAGTATATAATTAAATTCTTTAACAGATGTACCATACTAAGTGAAACTGGCATAAGCCACCAACCTAACAAAAAAAAACGAGTCTAAATAAAAAAACCTTACATTGGGATTTTATTTTTGATGCCCAAGGATACTTGGGACAGGATAGATAACTCCGTTTAAAAAGCGTGCCGTATATTTTCCCGGGGTTCTTTTTTGTGGCGTAATCTTTTCATAATTCAAATAAAACAAAGATTATAAAAAAGAAATATTAATTTATTCATAAATCATGACAAATATAAATTTATTAAAGATACCTAAAGCTAGGAGATTTCAGTTCTAATTTCCTTTAGAATACCTTTTCCAAAACTTTTTTACGTCATCGTGCGCCGATTTGTTTATAACTAGCGTTCTTTTTTCTTTGTTGCACCAAATTAAATGGCCGCTAGATTGCGCGTACTCCTTTAATACGTTAAAATCTGCCTGAGATAAAAATTGACTGTAGAGAACGCCCTCGTTGTAGGTAAGCCTGAAACAATTGAAAAATTAATATGTTTTGTTTTTATTTTTGATTTTCTCGGTGTTAAGCTTAATTTTCATGTATCCGTTTGTCCGTCAGTCCGTTCATCCGGGAGCGCTCTTATTGGTCCAATTATAATTCGACATTTTATCGGTCCGTCAAGTTTCAACTTCGTACGTCTGACAGAGAAAGGTTAAATAATTTTAACTCATCCGTCACTACACATCTGTTTTTGACGCCTAACGTTATTTTAAGATAACTTATTTTCAAATATTTTTTCAATTAGATTGTAAAACGGAAATATTACGTTCGTTATGTGAATAATGTTTACTGTTAAGTTTTTATTTAATAAGAATAACGGAAAAAAAGAAAGGACAAAAAAAATAAAACTAAACTAAAAGGACCTGCTTTTTTAAAACTATACATTTTAGTGTATATTAGGGCTAGTATATTCTTTTTATGAGGTATATTTACCTACCTTTAAATTTATTAGACAGCTAACTGTTAAAGTTACAATTGTTGGCATAATTGTAACTATGACAATTAAGCATTAGGTAAATTTAGTAAGTGAATATACTGACACTTAATTTCTATTTGTCGCAAAATCAATCCGTTAAACGTCATTAAAAAACGTATGCATGAAAATTAGAACATTTCTTATCGGACGATTTTATTGAAAAACTGACATACGGATGACGGACAAACGGATACATGAAAATTAAGCTTTACCTGTTGCGTTCCAGCTCCCAGAGTTTGATTTGGTCTACAACTGTGGGAGGGAGGGGGTTTTTGGTCTCTTGTTGTATCATTTGTGAGTGAGCGTGCTGTCTGAGGTAGCCTATTATTTGATCGGCAGTGATACCACCTCGAAGGGCCTGCCTTATCGAATCACGTGTTATCACCCCCACCACCAAATTTGGAAACCTAAAAAAGTATTATTTGATCCAGTTTATATCACCTTATTTACACAAAAAAAACATTGTCTCTAAATACACTGGTTTACAAAATCGAACAAAAATTGTGCCCACCATATCACATTTTTTATGGAAGGTTTTTTTTTTAATTTTCGGAGGTTTTTTGACGTTTTTGAGTATAGAAATCTAATTGATTGATTTGTTCAAACAAGCCCTAAAATTGAAGGTATTTGAGCCCTCTAAAACTTTTTTCTACATACTTTTGATATCAGATAAGTATTTTGACGCTAGCGATTTTAATAACTTAAAAAATTCGTTTTATGGCAAAAATTGAGGTCGAAAATTTACATATCGTCCTGGGAAAGGTTTCAATCAAACAGATAACTCCAGTTTGATTTTTTTACAAAAAAAAACAAGCTAATGTTGGTAAAAATACATGGAAAAATGGCGAAGTTATGGATTTTTTAGTGGAAGACCAAAATTCAGCTTTTTGACGATTTTTATTTTATTTTTTTCTTTTATTTTGTAATATGTTTATTCTTTAATGAAAACCTAAGTAAAGTGCATTATTGGAATTTTTTGAGTTTTTTTACGTACTTTTTTCACCGAAAACATTATTCAAAATTTAAATTTGACATTACTCCGCAAACGTGAATTCTTTTGTTTCTCGTGTTGGCATAGTGACATTTTAATGCTATTTTTTGATATTTCAACAAGACATTTTTATCATGGTTTTATTTAGTTAATAAAAAGTGTAAAATGATTAAAAGAAGTAGAGTTCGAGTGGGTAAATAACCCGGACAATCTAGGTGACGTAAGTGATGAGCACGGAGAACGTTTTCACCAGCAAATGAAGGCTATGGAGCGGCGGTATCAAGGCTTCTGGGATGCAGTCATGATGGGTGATTACATTTGGTCCCTCATACGAGAAACGGAATACGAAAGCAACAAAAAACAAAGAAGGAGCCAGAATTTTTTTAAACCTATGCTTATTACAACAAAATAAAAATTTCAAAATCTTCAATGTTCAATATTTATTGTTTAATATTCAATATACCTATAATTTAATTTCAATATTTAAAATTAAATTTCATATAATTCGATAAAATGAAGAAAAAACGTAAAAATTCTCGAAAATCCACTGAAAAGTTCATAACTTCGCCATTTATATCCATGGATTTTTATCAACAGCAGCTTATTTTTTTCCTTTAAGTATAATCTATAGGTACTTGAAATAAATCAAACTGGACTTATCTTTTTGATTTCTACCTTTCCCAGAAAGATATATAAATTTCGACCTTGATTTTTGTAAAAAAAGGACTTTTTCAACTTCATAAAATCGCCAGTATCGAACTACCTACTCAGCCGATACCAAAACTATACAAAAGAAGTTGTAGAGGGCACAATTACCTTTGATTTAAGTGCTTGTTTGGTCAAATCGATTAATTAGAACTCGAAGTATACTCTAAAACGTCAAAACACCTCAGAAAATTTTAAAAAAATTCATATCTCGAAAACGCTTCCATAAAGTGTGATTTTCCCGTTTAGTAAGCCAAACTACACGAGAAAATTATAGTGAGACATGGTGGGCAAAATGGCTGTAAACTAGTGATGTCATTTATTAAAAGTGCTACTTCCGTACCTATACATTAATTCGGTAAAAAGCCCGATCAAGGCCACTTGTAAATTCGAATCTGTGTAAGCGTATACTCTGTAATTAGTTTCTACAACTACATAGCCTTTGTGAGTGTCTTCATCAGCAGTAATGCCACCCTTATTTTGACTACTTGTAATGTTCAGCGCTAATCTCGTGGGGTAAAATCGGCCAGCCTTTCTCTAAAATAAATATTTTAGAAAAAATGCAACCAAATTATTTGTATTTTACTTTTCTTTGATAGACCAACCCAAACTCCCTCAAATGCTGCAAGAAAATTAACAAACCAGAACTCATTCCTTCAGTACTGTAATCCTATAAAAACAAACATTATGTAAACGCTATAATATTAGTGAGTAATCAAAATACCTTTCCAAGTGTACTAAAACTTAATTGAAATAAAAATGTTAGACATTCCACTAAATCTAAACCCCTTTGTTCAACAGTGTCGAGGTACTGTAGAATGAAGTGCCAAACTTGAGCATGCCTATCAAGTAAAAGGAACTGAAAACCTTGTCTGGTTATCACAGGGCTACCATCTTCCTCATCCCTAAACAAAAAAATAAATAATAGCTCCAAGATTAAAAATAATTTATTATAACCTTTATCCCACCAAAAAGTACGCCACTGATCAACTAGGAACTTTAGGTTAATTAATCTAGTTGCCTAATTTAATTTATAATGTTTCCAGATTCTCTCAAAAAAGTTGCCGAATTTTGTTTAAATTCAGCTTAATTACAAAAATGACAATGAGAATCTAGTGCATTTCTTTAAAATTTTAGGTTATGTGCTCAAATTGTATATATCTTAACAAAAGGAAGTGTTTTTGGATTTATTTACACAAATTGAATGTTTAAAGTTTAACCTGTCAACTTGTCCTAATTTCATCATTTTTAAATAATAGGTAGTTTTTTCACAAAAGAGAGGAAGGCAGAAGTCTTACTCGACAAATTTTGTTCAATTGCACAGCTATGTAAATAGCGCACGTTATTTGTGTTTAACGTTGCAAGGAAAAAACTAAAAAACTGGTTTAGTAGTCAATTTCGATTGATTATTCTTTATATCATTGATTAAGAAACTCATCGCTTAAATGCTAATATAGTTACGTTAGTGTGTGCATTTTATCTAAGGGATCATGGTGAATTATTGTGTTTTTAATTGTAAATAAAATTCGAGAACTAAATCGTTGCATTTTCATGTTTTGCCAAAGGATCCAATTCGGTAAGTACATTTGTTGGTGCAGAATTAACTAATGATAACTTTACCTAATATAATTTATATTTAAATTTGGACATTTTTAAGAAATTAGTAAAAAATAATTTTAGCACAAACATAACCTTAAAATCAACCATTTATATATTTGAGTTCTCTAAAAAACGCCGACAACTGCATTTTAAACAACAAAATATACCTACGAATTCATGGCAACATAACATTATATATACAGCCGAGTGGTGGCGCTACTAGCGATACTTCTTTAGCGTATGGCACGCCATTACATTTTATAATCGTAAATGTTTTAAATGTAAAATAAAATTGAAGTAGGTAGTTATTTTAAGTTATGGAATATATATAATTTTTTTATAATTTTAATTTCGTCTGACATAATAATATTTAAATAAAATTATGTCAAGCATAAATTTAATGGAAAAATAGCGAATTATTATTATGTCTGGGCATAATAATAATTATTTTTTATGATGCATTTTAATTTTATACGCATTTTTTTGTAAAATTTAAATATTTTACCCGACGAATAATTTTAAACATTTTACGTATTTTATGTATTATTTTGTTAGTTGAATTAATATTTACGTCATTTAAATTTGGTCCATTTTTATTTTGAATGAGGTTCTTTATTTTTTACTTTAAAAAATTTACCCATATTGTACTAAAAACATTGTTGAACAATTTTTTGTAAACAAAACTATTTTATTTAATAAAAATGATACCTACAATTAATTTTATAAGTACAAATAAAATTAATGCAATGAATTTTTGTGTTACAACTAAAATTATGACTTTACATCACAAAAATTATAGAATTATTTTTATCTGTACACATAAAATTATATAATTAATTTTAAAGTATATTCTGTCAATCTTAAACTTTGATATATATTGTTTTATACTTTCATAGGAATCCCACCCTAATGTTTGTGAAATAATAATAAATCACCCTGTATATAACTATATTTAATTTTAAAATAAATAAAAATAATATAAAGAATTCTTTGCAATACCTTTTTTTGGCTTCAATGCAGCATTATTCTTTATCTCAGAAAAACCAAAAAACGTTCATTTCTATGTTGTTTCAAAACAGTCTAAAAAAGTTACCTTCTCATTAATCCTGCATGTAAAAGTATCCGTACAGCATCAGCTGATATGCCTTCTTGCTGCTGAGATCCAACCATGTAATGTAACACACATTCCCATCTTTCTAGAGAGTAGGCATCGAGAAAAGAAACATCCCTAGCCTTGCTGTCGGCTTCTAAAGCTGAAGACATGCTCCAAGGCTTACCTCTAAAAATGTATTTAGTAATAAGATTAAACATTTTTTTTGGCTACTTACCCCCCTAATAAAGCTACTTTGAGATTCCGTTTAAATGTAGGTAATAAGATCCATCCTAATAAGCCTCCTGGTATGTTTGCTTCTTGCCAAACACAAAGCTCACTTAATACTTTACTAACATAAACATGCTCTCTAAAAATCATAATTTAGATTTTTAACACTAAGAACAACTTTAAAACATGGTAATATTGCCACAAATAAGCTAAAAGTACCTTAATCTTATATCTGGCATACTTGTTTAACCCTGTATAAAATTCACTTACTTGGAAAATGCCTGGGACCCCCATGACGCCACCATGGCCTGGGGGACAGGTTGTTCCACAAATAGTATGCGTATCACATATTGTCTGGCCAATTCAGGTAATTCCCTAAAAATTTATACACTCTAGGCAACCGTGGCGAAATTTAAAAAAATATTTCTACCTGTATACTGCTAAACATATCGTAGGATGATTATAAAGCTTTTCTAATACGTTATGCGTTCTTGTTTTTAAATAATCATACAAGTTTTTACATTCTAGATTTGTAGGCTTTATGAGTGTCGAATTTAGCGAACTGGATGCCCCAGTACCATTATCGGCCATTTAAGTTAGTTTTAAACAAACTAAATAGATATTTATTTACAATTTTCTCTATTTGATTGGTCATTTATAGGTTAGGATATGTAATTATTAAAAACATTTATTAAATTTATTTGTATGACTATTTACACGTTTAAAACATATTTATTATAAAAATATAAGATACTACTTGCTCTGGCACAACTTTATTTCGCTTATTTTCTTCGGAATAATATAAAAATTAAAAAATTTAAAACTATCGGCAAATATAACCTTCAACTAACTTATGTGAAGTTAGCATGAAACAACCTAAATAAAATAAACTCCCCAGCAAAATGATGACAGCTTACCAACATAATTTGTTTTAAAAATAATCTGCTCATCTTAAAAAAATAAAATAATATGGAAATAAAAGAAAAATTACAAAAATAATTTAAACTTTAATTGTTTAATTTTCGAAATTCATAAAAAACTACACATGATTTATTATTATTTTGTACTAGAGTGAAGTTAGCAATTTAAACCAACATTCAAAAATAAAATTTACTAAAAGTTCTTCCAGATAAATTGTTTTGTAGCAACGACGTACAAGTAAGTTAATCAATGATTTTGATTAAATATTTTAGCCATCATTGCTTATAATCAGGTTTTTATTGCATATTTAGGCATGCTTTATGATTATCAACAAAATAGCTAACATATTTATTGTAAAATATAGTTTTTAAGGTGATTTTGTAAACTTAACCTAAAATAAATCTGTTTTCTTTTAGACGAGAATAAAATGGCAAAGTCAAAGAATCATACCAATCACAACCAAAGTAAGTAAAAGGTGGTCACTTTAGTTTGTTAAATTAATATTTAACTTCTTTTTAGACCGCAAAGACCACAGAAATGGAATTAAGAAGCCAAAACGTTTTCTGCATGAATCTACCCTTGGTGTAAGTATATTATTTATGTTAAATGGGGGTGTAGATATTTAATATTATTTACAGAAGACGGAAGACAAATTTAGTCTTAATCTTTAAAATAATGTTTTGTTTAAATGTCAATTTTATAGATAAAATTTTTTTTAACAACACACCAAGATTTAACGAGTAAATATAACTCAATTTTTTCAGATGGATGCCAAGTTTTTAAAGAACCAAAAGTTCTCCAAAAGGCACAACCTTACCACTAAGCAGCAACTTAAACGTGCTGCTGAAAGGAAAACCGAAAGAGAATCCAAGAAATAAATGTTTTTGACTAAAATAAAGTATTTTTAAGAAACATTTTTATTTTAGTTTCCCCCAATTAAACACAAAATTGTGTTAAAGATACCTAGGTATTGTAAATCAAAAATAAAAAAAATTCAGTCTGAAAAATTTATTTTAAATAAAATACCAAAAAAGTTTAAAATATAAATAAGAAGTAAAAAATTAGTCTAAAACTACAAAATCTGTTAGTTTAGAATTTTTTGATTTATTTGCTGAAAGCTTTCTAAATTTACTTGAAGGTACGTGTGTTTGTGATTTGTGCCTTTTAAGGCTTGTAGTGGTCGGTTTTGGGGATGGATAAAAGTCATCTTTACTTGTCCCTCCAAAACCATTATAATTTACTTCATCACTTTTTTGCTTTGTCAATTTTACATTTTCCAGTTTACTTGGAACTGGTTTAAATATAGTATACTAAAAAAATTAGAAATTATTTAAATGTTTTAATTTGAAGCCCAAAAGTGCCAGATTCCTTGTCTTAAAATAAGTTTTTGAAAACTGCTTAGTTTGACCAATATACAGGGTATCTCAAAGGTCAAGGACAGCAGAAAAGGGGTGGATAGAGGTTGGGATTCTAATAGTCTAATATCTAATAGTCTTTGCCGTTTTTTGATTTATTTTTTTTTAACTTGCGACCTAATAAATAAGTTAATACAAGATTGACTTAACTTTACCTTTTTTAAATAAGTTAAAATAATTATTTTATTAATATTAATTAATTTTAACATTATTATTTAATTGGAGATATTTGAATGAAATTGTAATAATCACAATCCACACAACAAACCCTGTTTTATCTTGTTTTGCGCATACTAAAAATGACTGCAACACTGCGCAGAATCTAACAGAGGCCATTTTTATGTTTATACAGAAACACATCGTTTTAAACGTTGTGTTTCTTACAGAGGCACAGTGTTGCCAGATTGGGCGATTTATCACAAATTGGGCGATTTTTAACTCGCTCTGGCGACCATAAATTTACAAAAATCACAAGTCGCCATTTGAGCGATTTTCGGCGCTAGACCGGCGTCAGTCCCAAGGAGGGTAAAATAATTCTCCTTGACTCACCAAAGCTATGATCGGAATAATATAAATAGGTTCATCGACATAAAACATATGATTTATGTCGATGTCGAATATGTAAATATGTAATATAAAGCAGATTTTACGCTGATTGTAAATGTTAACTAAACGATGGGGAGCAGCTCATTGCATCGAAACTCAATAGATCGAATCTCGCTAGATCGAAAATTTACATGACCTTCGAAGCTCACCAGATCGAAAATGTGTGGCATCGTCGCACTTTAAACATCAAATTGGTAAGGTTTGGTTCACATTTTTCATTAGGAAAAAGCGATTTTTCTTAAATGCAAACAAAGTTCGATCTGTGATGCCTGTAGATGTATATACAGTATAGTAGTTTAAGCAACAAAATTTAAAAAGTTATTTATTCTTAGGTAGGTACTTTAAAATGGTAATTTGTATTTATATGAATACTTGAAAACATTGACAAGTGATGTTGTATTTTTATTCTATGGTTGTAAGAAGTGATTTTGACATGTAAGTTTAAAAATATTTTTTATAATAAAATTAAGTTTTTTTTTGTAGAATTCCAATTACCTATTCAAAGTTGAAAGTAGAAACAGTTGGTCAATTTAGGATAGATTTGTAGCATGACCATTAAATTTTCCCCAGGGCAACAGTAATACATGTCAGCATCGCCAACCAGTCCTTTAAACATTTTAAATTTTGAAATAATAGAATTAATATCTTAGATGACCTTTTTATGTATAATTTGATGAGTATGCACTTAATATCTATTTTAAATGTGTGTTTTACTAAATATTGTATGTTTTCAGTACCTCCTGAGGATGCCGAAAGGTGAAAGTAGTCAAGATAATTAAAAAATAAAAATATCCATGATGCGAAATTGTCACCGACACTGAGTTAGACAAAGGAGAGAAACATACAAGATCTTTTATGTATCCTTCGAAGGATAGTATGTGACAAGGGGTGAAACAGAATTGGCAAAACTGAAAACATGACTCCTAATCGATGAGTTGCCAGTTGGTACAAAATTATGCAACCAAGCACACATACACGTATGCTTTGTTGCTTGATTCTTCCAAAACTCGGCCATGGTGAAAAAAAGTCGGACATCATGTTTTGTGTGCCATTGGGTCCTGTTTGCTTATAAGAACTTCTTAAGAAGGCTTATTTAACTGTGTACAGTTTAAAACGTAAGTATTTTGTTTAATTGTCAGCTTTTTAGCAAACCTTGGTTTTCTATTACTGAAGTCCAGTTGGTTCATAAAAAAGAATAATTCGGTTATTAACTTGTGGCAATACAAATAAAGCAATATTATAAACTTGTCAGTGTTCTAAAATATATTAGTAAAAATTATAATCAATACTTTACAAACAAAATTATTTGGAATGAAAAAATATTAGAAGCAGTTTAAATTGTTAATAACAACAATTTGTTATGTTTTATTTCAAATGTTAAATCTTATAGGTTTGTTACCTTATTTTTTAACCAAAGTTTACTAATTATTATTATAGTCATTGCAATAATATTGTAACATAATTATTAATAGCCACATAAAATTTTTTGAATAATGTGTACATTTAAATACATCCATTTAGATACATAAATGAGAAAAATGCATCCAAAAAGAATTTAACAGTGGAACATTTTAAAAAATTTTAAAAAAGGTAGAATTTTTTAAATTTAAATTTCATCAGTGTTAATGTCTGTTATATTATTGTTTTACCAAAAATTGCCCAATATATTTTTGCTTTAAATTTTATGTTAATTTAATTTTTAATTTTTAAAAGGAGTTGGAATATGGAAGCCATGGGACACCAACCTGAGAATATAAACTGAATGCAATTAAAGTTGGAATATGAAATGTATAGGTATAACACTACCCTAAGAACATAAACCTTACATAAATGCAACACAACCCCCAAGTTTGAATAAGGAATCCATTGTACACCAACAGGCAGACATAAACCCTACTTAAGTAGGCTACATAATATTTATCCATATTATGGATATTATGTGCCACTATCCTAAGAACATAAACCAAAATATGTCAAAAATTTTGTACTGCATTTTTTAATATCTTCAAGTTAAAGGATAACATAAAAGTTAAATGATATGCATATTCTTATTTTTGTAAGAAAATAATAAATCATTACCTATATTAAAATATTTTTTTTTTAAATACTAAACAATTAGGTACCTATATTTTATTATTAATTTATTTTTGTAAAAGTAACTTTTTATTATTAAATTTGCTTTTACTACTCTTTTTTTGTAAGTTATAGAGTTTTTTAAGACTGATGGACTTTTTTGTAGGTAATGCAGTTATTACATCTCTAGATGAAAGTCCAAAATTTTAAATATAATCAATCAAAATTTAAACAAGTTTTCAATATATTAAATACCTTTTTTTGAATCCTATAATTATATTAATATTGTACAAGTATAAATTAAAAACTTTATTTTAAGAGAATTATATAATATTTTTAAACTAATTTATATATAAATTAGTTTTAAAATATAAATTATTAATATATATTAAAAACTGGTTTAAATTTTGATTGGTCATATTTAAAATTTTGGACTTAACGTACTTTGGCTCTGAGTTATAGAATCTATACTATGGATAGATATGTAGATAGAGTTAATTTTTTATTTAGTTAGACTCAAGTGATTTTATTAAGTTTTTAGTTAAGGCCAGTTTGTAATTAATTTACTCCAATACACTTTAAAGTGTAAGTAACAATTGTTAACTTCTTTTTAAAGAACATCTTATGTAGTGTTCTGTTAATAATATTATTATGCTAAGTTAGTATTGTTAACAAACCCCTAATATTGTTAAACCTGTTAAATTCTTAAAAAGATCTTAAATATTCATAGAAAATTAATGTAAATTCGTATTTTATTAAGCACTATGAAATTGTGTACACCTTTCCTTGTAGAATCAGGTAATGAAGTGATAAGGATAGCAATAGTATTACTATAATCAATGATATAATATTGTTATTATTACTTATGCTTGGTTTTAATAATTTTCAAATTACTGTTTTTACCTCGGTTTTTTACTATTATTTAGTCGTTATGTGACTAAATAATTTTTATTTTTCATTTATGTTCTATACCACTTTTATTGGAAGTATCAACATTTTTATTTTTGTAAATATATATATGTATATATGTATATATTTTTTTAAATTTGTTTTTTTTTTTAGAAAATTTAAAAATAATGAAATACCTAAATAGAAATTTAAAAGCCGGGCCTGCTATGTCCATCAACCAGCAAAGAGTTTCTCTAGGGGCCATCATTCATCCCCCCTTGGACCAAGGGGGGATGAGGGCCTTGGTAAGATTTAGCTCGACCCTCTCCCTAATCTCAAGTGAGATTTTTCAAATTGCGTATTTTTAGAATAAATACGTTAATCTGGGCTTGATTGATGTTTTTTACACTGTTTATCCTCTCTGGTGTTTCTCGAGGGAAAAAAATTACGTGATATTTGCCGAGCCCTCCCTCTACCCCACGTGTGATTGGATGAGAATTGGCTCTTCCCCCCTAAACGCCTCACTTAATTAATGGACGGCCCATTATATAAATTTATCCTTTTTCTATGCGATCAGCGACTGTCTGCCCCTTGTCTCTGCTGTCTGCATTCCACTCTGTGCTGCACTTAAAGAATGTTTCCAGTTTTTGATCTAGCCAGAAGGTAAGAAAGCGTTTGACATATTTATAAGATGCAGCTTATAAGCTAACCGATTTTAATTTTTTTTGAATTTAATAATATTCAATTAATGACGATGCCGTAAAACTTTTATTTCCTTTATTTTTTCATTAAGTTCCAATAAGAAAATATGAATATGGCTTGCATTCTTGCTTTATTTGATGTAGGTAAGTGATATGCAGGTATTTAATGTTTAAATATTTTCAGATCCATGGGTTTCTCAGAGTGGAGTAAGGATCCCATCAGTATGAATTGGATGATCAAAGTTCGCTTGACGCAGGAGGACTACCAAGAAGGCGATATAGATATAAGGATTCGAAATAATACCTTAGTGGTAAGTCTAATTTACCTTGGTTGTTTTATTTCGATTGACGTGAACAAGGCCTACCCAGCTGGGTCTAGAGCTGGCTCTAGAGCAGGCCAGAGGGGGTGCAAGCGGTGCAACCGCACTAGGCCTCTGAGAATAGTAATGTAAAAAAAATGTACACTGTACAGTCAAATGTACATTGTACAGTCAAAAATATATTTATGATCGCAGTTATAGGTATATGATTTTTTCCAATACCTACATGATAGATGCAAAAATAAATTTGACTAAAAGTATTTTTAACAAACGTGTGTTGTAATATATATATATATATATATATATA